ATGCAAAAATTTCTCCAACAGGGTAAAATGGGAAGCCACAGATTGGAAAAAAATATTTGGTAATGGCATGTCTGACAAGGGACTTACATCTAGAATTTATAAAAAACTGAAGCACCACAGCAAGATAAACGTAAACAACCCAATTGAAAAATGGGCACAGGATATGCACAGTCACTTCACCAAAGAAGACATTCAAATGGCAAATAAACACATGAAAAAACGTTCAAAATCCCTAACTCTAAGAGAGATGCAAATCAAAACAACTATGAGAGATCTCATAGCAAAATTTAACAGAACAGAAAACAAATACTGCTGAGGTTGTAGAGAAACTGGAACCCTTATTCATTGTTGGGCGTGTAAAATGGTGCAGCCACTATGGAAGGCAGTATGGAGCTTTCTCAAAAAGTTGCAATAGAAATATCATTTGACCCAGCAATTCCTCTACTGGGAATATACTCTCAAGAAACCCATAACTGCCACCCGAACAGATAAATGCATACCTATGTTTATTTTGACTTTGTTCACAATAGCAAAGAGTTGGCAACAACCCAAGGGCCCATCAACAAATGAATGGATAGAGAAGCTGTGGTATATTCACACAATGGAATACTATGCAGCATTAAAAAACAAGGAACTCAAGGAATATTACACGAAATAGATGATCCTGGAGGACATGATGCTGAGTGAAATAGCTCAGTTACAAAAAGACAAATATGGCATAATGCCACTGTTATAAAAAAGGACTGACATGACTAGATATTATCTAGGAGTCCAGAACAAAGGTAACATAGTGGAGTGGATTTGGGGAGAGGGATTGAATAACAATGAAAGAATTTTTTCTTTTACTTTTCAAAAAGAAAAGGGAATTGTGGGGAGGGGTGGGCAGGGAGAAAAGTACAACAATGAATGAATGGAAATTCAAAGTCTCTGTAAACATTCAAGAAAACAAATTTAAAATTAGAAAAGAAAAAAGATTGCACTGGAGCATTGAGAAGCCAAAACAAAAGGAAATCATGCCAAAGTAAAGGAGTGGAACAGAGGATTTCAAAGGGCAACTCGAGAAGACAAAGCAAAGTATTATAATGGAATGTGCAGAGCACTGGAACTGGAGAATAAAAAGAGAAAAACTCACTGCATTTCTCAAGCTGAAAGAACTCAAAAACAAATTTAAGCCTCATGTCGCAATATTGAAAGATGCTATGGGCAATGACCCAGAAAACATCAAAAGAAGATGGAGGGAATACACAGAGTCTCTGTAGCAGAAAGGAACACTATACGGCTTAAAATCAGGAAAGATGTGCTTCAGGCCTGTATCATATGTTCAGCAAATAATCCCAGATGCTGGACTCTATGAAGAAGAATGTGGTACGGATAGGAGGAAGCCTCTTCAACACCTACGTTATGTAGATTATACAATCTTGCTTGCTGAAAGTGAAAAGGACTTAAAACACTGACGAAGATCAAAGGCTAAAGCCTTCAAAGTTAATTACATCTGGACATCAAGAAAACAAAAATAGTCACCACTGGGTCAATTGGCAACATCATGATAGATGAAGAAAAGATTGAAATTGTTAACAATTTCATCTTGGATCCACAAACATCCCTTGGTACCAACCATCAGGAAGTAAAAGATGTGTTGCATTGGGAAAGTCTACTGTTAGGGACCATCCAAAGTGCTGAAGGGCGATGGCTTCACGTTAAAGGCTAAAGTGCACCTGATCAAAGCCATGGTCTTTATAACTTATTTGCTATGCATGTGAAAGTTGAACAACGAATAAGGATGGCAGAAGAACTGATGCCTTCTGAGTTGTGTTGGAGAAGAGTCCTGAATGCCCCATGGAATGGATTGCCCAGGGAACAAGATGCCCTGAGAGACGTGCAGCCAGAGGGTTCCTTAGAGGAAAGGATGGTGGAACTTCATCTTGCTTACTTCGGGCATATTTTTAGGAGTTAAAAAAGACATCACGCTGCAAAGGATAAAAAGGTAAAAAAAAAAGATGACTCTCAAGAAGACAGACAGAGCGACGACCACAGTGATTCGAGCATGGAGACGGTGCAGGGCAAGTCAAGGTTTGGGTCTGCTGTTCCTAGGTCTGCTGCCACGATGAGCCACAGTCGACTCCATGGCGCCTCCCATCTGTTGTTGTGAAAGACCGCAAACTAGGGCTTTTCCCAGACCGGCCGCGACCCCGAGCGACTCACACCAGGTCCACTTGATGTAAGCACAAGAGGCTTTATTGACGAAGCTTCGGGACGACTTTTATCTCAGAAGTGAGACAGGGAAGTCGACCCCGAGCCTCAAAAAGCAAGGGAACTTATACTAAGTCTAGGGGTTCTTTGGCATAGAGATAGCTCATTGGTTCTTTGGAAGAGGAGAAGTTCAATTTTAGGTCAGGTGCCTGCTGCCGACGTTAGTTAAAATATGGTTTTTGCCAGTAATTGTTTCTTCAGTTTGTGGTCAGCTAGTTCCTGGAACACAAACATTCACACAAGATCAAAGGTATAGGTTCTTACAATACTGATCAAAGGTATAGGTTTTTACAATACAGATCAAAGGTATAGGTTCTTACAATACTGATCAAAGGTATGGGTTTGGGGACATTATTATTATTTTAAATTTTCCTTTCATTTGGTATTAGGTGCTATCAAGTTGGGTACATCTCATAGCCACTCTATGACTCACAGATCTGAACCCTGTCCTACCCTGTGTCAGCCTCAGTCTGACACCCTTAAGCCATGGTGGCAGTCACTGCGTCAATCCAACTGAGGGTCTTCCTCTTCTTTGCTGACCCTCCAACTTCCTAAGCATGATGTCCTTCTCCAAGGAATAGCCTCTCTTAGTAACATGCCCAAAGTATGCAAGATGAAGCTTCATCTTTGCCTGCGAGGAGCATTCTGGCTGTACCTTCTCCTAGACATATTTGTTTGTTCTTTTGGCAGTCCATGGGATATTCAACACTCTCCTCCAACACCGGAACTCAGAAGCCTCAGTTCTTCTGTCATTTTTATTGTTCAGCTCTCAGATACCTAGCAAGTGATTAACAAGATCATGGCTTGAATCATGTGCACCTTAGTCCTAAAACTGGCATCATTGCTTCTAAATAATATGAAGGGGTCCCTGTTAAGTCTGGACAAGGGGGTCAAAGGGAAGAACGAAGAATTCAGAATTCAAACACTAACAGCCTTCCCTGCTGCTGCTAACAGCAAACGACCTTGGAAGACCCTCAGACACCATAAATCACAGCAGGGTGTACCTCCCCTCCTCCCTCAAGACTGTTATAAAAGCCCTCCTCAGTAAGTTCACAGTGTGATTTCCCCATTCTGCATCTCCAGAATGAGGAACTTCACCAGGGAGTTCCCCTAAACCGTCCCTTTGATAAAACTGTGCTAAGCTTTCTCTCCTCTCTGATTTCTTCCTTAAGTCCCCTAAATTAACAGTCCCTAAGTACAGATTCTCCCAGGGTAATGCTTCTGATCTCCTGACTGCCCTAAAGTGTACTGATTGTGGACCCAAGTAAGAGGAAGTCATTGACAGTCTTAATCTTTTCCCCATCTAGCTTGATGTTCTTATCAGTGCCGTGGCATTGAGATGCAATCCATATTGAAAGCTACAATCTTTGATCTCGTAAACCACGTGCTTCAAGTCCTCGCTTTCAGCAGGCAAGGCTGTGTCATCTGCATAAAGAAGGTTACTGGATGAATCTTTCTCTGATGAATGCCTCGATCTCACTTTACCCTGGGACAGCGTTTAGGGGTGTGCATTTGAGGGCTGGTGCATTTGAGAGTGTGCGCCTGGGACGTGTGTGCACCTGGCACAAGCACGTGTGAGCACGGGAGGATGGATACGTTGCCAGGTCCCCACAGCGGCGGCCAGGACCTGGCTCAAAAGCCCGAGCAGCTCGCTGGACAAGCAGAGGACACTGGGTGTCCGCTCTCGTCTCAACCCCTTGAAGAGACTCAGTGGCCCGACTGCGCAGGCTCAAACTCACCACCTACCACAAGGTCAACAAACTCTTTGCGCTCATGCTCATGCGCAGCCCCGCCTGCGGTGGGTTAGTGCGCACGCGCGGCTCCGCCCCTGACGGGGGTGTGCGCGTGCGCAGCCCCACCTCTCCGTTCCCGAGTATGTGTAGCTCCGCCTCCGCCAGATTGTGCGCATGCGGCCTCCCCCACGTGCGCGCCCACGGGCTAGAGGCGGGGCCCAGCGCGCGTCCTGGTTGCCTGGAGACCATGTAGCCCCCGCCTCCTCCGGGCTTGTGCGCATGCGGCATCCCCCAGGTGCGCACCTACCAGGTGGGGCCTCGCGCGTCCCGGTTGCCTGGAGACCGTCCTGCGACAAAGGTGGTCGAGTGCCCGGCTGCAAGGTGCCTGTGAGGTGTTGCTCGAGGGGCCGTTGGTTCTCATTGCCCGCGGATCTCGTGGAAGAGCCAGTGAGAGCTCCGGTCACTCCAGAGCCCTCCTGGGACCCTGACCCCAAACCTCAGCCCCAGTTTCGGGAGGAGGATCGATCTTTACAGGGACCCCGACCCCAAACCTCAGCCCCAGTTTCGGGAGGAGGATCGATCTTTACAGGGACCCCGATCCCAAACCTGGGGAGGACTTACACCGAGGCCCCGCCCCCGTTTCCAAGCCCAGACCCCACCCTCGGGGACCGGGGACCCCTTAGCCTCTTTAATGGCCCCTAATCCCAAACCTGGAGAGGGAAATCCATCAAGACCCATTTCCGGACACCGACTCCAAACCCGGGGAGACCAAACCCGTGGAGACCCCGAGCCCTGTTTCCGAACCCGACCCAAACTCTGTAAGGGAGGACACCGTGTCCACAAACCCCATTTCCCGACCTGAACCCCAGACTCGGGGGGGGTATACTGAGTCCACAAGCTCCTTTCTGGAGCCAACGAGGCTCCACGGGTCTCCCTGGACGGGGACTGCTGGTGCCACACTCCGCCTCCTCCTCCTCCCAGCCTGGTCCGCTCCGGACACACGGACGCACGGACGCAATGCCGCTCCCCGACACCATGTTCTGCGCACAGCAGATCCACATCCCCCCGGAGCTGCCCGACATCCTGAAGCAGTTCACCAAGGCCGCCATCCGCACGCAGCCGGCCGATGTGCTGCAGTGGTCAGCGGGGTGAGCTGCGCCCTGCCCACGGCCCCATCCCGGGGAACAGACCCCTTCCTAGAGGACCTGCCACTTCCTGGGACATGGCCCCTGCCCGAAGGCACAACACCCACTGGCTGTGGCAATGCCCCCGGCTGTCCTGGGAAGTAGGTAGCTTGAGTCCAGTGTGGTCCACAGCATGCAGGTGCAGGCCCATCTTCCCAGAATGTTGCACTCCAGGTTACATGTCAGCGGACCCTAGAAATGGACACCAGACCTCTGGGTGGACGGGACAGCTCTCTGCCCCTTGTCAGAACATAGGCTTGGGCCAGCTGAGTGACAGGAGACAGTGGTCAGGGCCTGTGGTGGTTTTGTTGCGTGAGAAGTGAACCAAAGCTGACCCTTCCAGCAGTTGTCAGTGACCGTGACCTTGTTGGAGGGGATTGCCTGTCTCCCGCTGTCCAGCTGGTGAACTTGAACAGTGTGCCTTTGCACTTGGCCCCTGGGCCACCAGCGACCCCTTCAGTGTGAGTGAGTGTAGGCTCGGCATTTCCTGTCCCAATCACTTCCAAGCAGTTAAGTCAAGTGCCTCCAGCAGCACAAGGTCGTTCAGTTATGGATAAAGTCACTTTTGAAATTGTCTGATGGCAGAAATGTCAGCAGAGATAAGGACTCAAACCCAAGCCCTTGCTCAGGGGTGTAGGAAGAGGACTCAGGGTCCCCATCACCCAGGGGTGGAGGAGGACTTGGGGTCCCCATCACCCAGGGGTATGGTGGTAAGATGGCTTGGCTTCTGTCTGTCTGTCTGTGGCAGAGGGATGGAGGGCCGTCAGCATGTGGCTGGTGAGAAGTCAGATTTCCGGGACTTGTGCATCCTGAGGACTCTGTGTTTTTAGCTATTTTTCAGCTTTATCTCGAGGGGATCCCCTTCCTGTGAAGGACAGACTGGAGTTGCCTGTGGTGACCCAGAAGACAGACACTGGCCTGACACAGGGCCTCCTCAAGGTCCTGCACAAGCAGGTACAGACGTGTTGGGTCTCCTGACTCAGGATGCTGTCTCTGGGGTGGGTTGTGCTGTCTCTTGGGAGGAGTGTGCTATCTCTGAGGTGGGGTGTACTGTCTCTGGGGCAAGGTGTCTTCTCTCTGGGTGGGGTGTGCTGTCTCTGGGCTGAAGTGTGCTCTCTCTGGGGAGGGGTGTGCTGTCTCTGGGGAGGGGTGTGCTGTTTCTGGGGAGGGGTGTGCTGTCTCTGGAGTGGAGTAGCACGTGCTGTCTCTGGGACAGGGTGTACTGTCTCTGGGGTGGGGTGTGCTGTCTCTGGGGCAGGGTGTGCTGTCCATGGGGTGGAGTGTGCTGCTTCTGGGATGGGGTGTGCTGTCTCTGGGTTGGGCTGTACTGTCTCTGGGCTGAAGTGTGCTGTCTCTGGGGAGGGGTGTGCTGTCTCTGGGGAGGGGTGTGCTGTTTCTGGGGAGGGGTGTGCTGTCTCGGGGGTGGAGTAGCACGTGCTGTCTCTGCAGTGGGATGTGCTGTCTCTGGGACAGGGTGTGCTGTCTCGGTGCTGTCTCTGGGGAGGGATGTTCTGTCTCTGGGGTGGGGTGTGCTCTCTCTCAGATGGTGTTTGCTCTCAGATGGGGTGTGCTCTCTCTCGGGTGGGATGTGCTCTCTTTGGCTGTCTGTAGGGCAGGGTGTGCTGTCTCTGGAGCAGGGTGTACTGTCTCTGGGGTGGGGTGTGCTGTCTCTGGGGTGGGGTGTGCTGTCTCTGGAGCAGGGTGTACTGT